GAAGACCCCCCCCCCGACTCCTCCTCACTGTTGTGCGTGTGCTGCTCCTCCCTGGCGGGCGGCGCCAGCAGCGTGTGTAGGCTGCTGTCGCGTGGCAGCGTGAAGCTACGAGGTTTCCCTCCTTCGGTTGCCATAGGAATCAGCCTCTGCATCGCCACGGGCAACGGTCCGGTCCTCGGCGCCGGAAGCGTGTAGACGGCCCCGGCCGACATGGGCGTCGGGCTGGCCGGGCTCGGGTCGGCGAAGACGGCGTCCTCTGGAAGAAGGCGATCAGACATAAATTTGAAGGGGATATTTGATGGGAAATGCCCTGGCTCCGCCCTCATGAATTATGGTAACAATAATCTTCATCAAAAAATAAATAAATAAATTTAAAAAATGGAATGATCTCGTGTTACCGAGTGGTCCCGTCTGCAGGTAGTGCAGTCCGGCTTCCGTCAGCGGCGTCTCGATCAAGTCCTGCCAGGAACGTCTCTGAGAGGAGGATGATCGGCCAGGGGAGCCGGTCTCACTGCTGCCCCCCGCGGGACTGGAGCGGTACTGCGGCGGACAGTACATGTCAATTTGAAAGTGAGTTCAAATTTTGTACCACGACACTTTTGAGTGAATCGCAGTGTCGAAGATGGATGGATCCTGGTATCTTCAGGTATGGCATTTATGTTATTTTTGACAGCAGCAGAGCGGAAACTGTAAACGTTGCCTTGTAGGTGCCGATGCAACCGAGGCTGTTTGCGTCACAGCAGTAAAAATAATGTTAAATGAATGACTTTTTACCCTACGCACCTCCACGGGGTCACATCGGTACGCCACGTCGCTGCTGTTGCTGCCACCGGGCCTCCTGCCGCTGTGCATGGTGCCGCCCCCAAGAGGGCCGGGGTGATACTGCGGCTCGGCGGCCGCGGCGGAGGGCTCGCCGCAAAGAAAGTCCTCCTGGGACGAGCGGGAGCGCGACGTCTCGGTGGAGGACAGTCGCGTCGTTCGGCCTTCCAGGTAAGCGCTCATCTAGAGGAAGGTTGGCAAGATGGCGGCAAAGCACTACTTAGGTCTTTTGACTCGCTTTGGGTGCATGGAACCCACATCACGTTTATCTCAAATCATCTTTGCTCATTGAAACGGATTGAGATCAAATTAATTCATTTCCGCCTCCTAAAAATTAAATGGTAATGGATGTCAATATAGTGTCAACGGCTCGGCTCGTATAGGATAAAGCTACCTGTGACTCCTGCGATAGTAAATGTTTATATGGCTTAAAAAAAAAAAAAATGCGATTCATGGTTGCTAAATGCGGGTCAAGCAGTTCCAACGGGGCAAATTTAGCCCAAGCTTGTAGCTGAAGGTTAAATGAGCTAACTTTGAAATGTGACCGTGGGTTGGTCGAAGAGCAGCCCGGCATATCTTGGCCCACTCGGCCGGTGGCGCGTGTTTGTGCAGTGGTGACTCACCGACGGGGGCCGCGGGTAGGTATCGTACGGAGGCGGGGGGCTGTCCTGTTTGGGGCTGGAGGTGGCGTCATCCTCGTGCTCGCTCTCGCTCCAGTAATCTGCGGGAAAACCTACGAGGATTAGGTTCCACGGAGCACTCGATCACTCTTGCCGCAGGTGGACAACTGCGACTTTAAGGTCACGATTCTTGCTAGAATCTTCTTGCAATTGCGCTATTGTCGAACACCGTTGACCATAAGCTATGTGTCCTACGGCGTTGAATGAACAATATATTCGGCTTTTTAACCCTTTCAGGGACAACGGTGACGACAGTGGACGGCTTATCATGCTATCGGGTAACGGGGTGCATGAAAGGGTTCATCCCACCTGTCAGTCAAATCCCCATAAAATGAAAAATGAAGGGATATGCTTGATGTCTTGTGCTGCCATCTTGTGGCTGTTCCGGTAATTGCCATGATCACTTTTTGGATGAAAAAAAAATGATTTCTTGTTGGCATCTGCAATCTTCATCCTGTGTGCATGTTTTGTCTGCGCTTATAAGGCATTTTTCCCCTCCTGGTTGCCCTGTTTTACTTTTTTTTTGTTTTTATTTATTTTTAATGAATGGAGGGGCCATTCAGAGTCCTCTGCCAGTCATCAGTTGAACATCCGAGCCTTGGTGGGAACCGCATCGCTTTCTAAATGAAAGCTCACCCTGCTCTTGGCGAATCCTCTCTCTCTCTGCGTAGCCCACGGCAGCCATGTTGAGTCGACTCAGCCACCTGAGGGTCAGAAAAAAAAAAGGGTTCAGGTTGAGCAGGGACGTGCACAAACATCAACAGAGGATGACAAACAGAGACGTGTGATGTTTGAAAACAATGGTTTGGTTTTTCTCAATGGCTCTGCCTTGCCCACATGATTTGACGGGGTACACAATCGACGAAGACGCAACTGGCGTCGTCGGGATTTGACCTGTTCATGTCGTCCACGCCATCTGACGCAAAGAAGAAGCTCTTGACCTTGGGGTGGCAAGCTTTGAACGCACTGGGGAGCATACAGACGCGCAGTGAGACACCCAACGCGAGCACATTCCTGTCTTTTCATCGCTCACTTACTACTTCTTTCGGCATTCACTGGCGCGATCGATTTTGAACTCGGGGAGACTGACGAAGCCCTCGGCTTTCTCATCCTGACACACGAGAGATGACTCCGAATGAGAAGGAGAAGACAGCGAAGCTCAAATGGAGCCCACGCGCACGGATACCTCTTCGTTGATGTACCAGTACAGGCAGTTGTCCTTCAGAACGAACCAGTACTTCTTCCATTTATGAGAAAAGTAACCTTTGGCATCCCTCTTGCGCCACAGCCAGCCTTCGCAGTCGCCTCGGCCAAGCGCCTTGCAGGAAACGCGGCGGCGGCTCAGGTTGGCTAAACTTCGACCTGGAACAACATGGTGGGGAGAAATGTAGAGATGATCAGTGATGGGAAGTTTTAAAAAAAAAAAAAAAAAAAAAAATCGACTGAAGTACAGTCACGGAGGACAA